GAGTTATAGCCAAAAGATTTTCTTCTTCTTCCCAAAATGAAAATTTAATTCTGTTTGTGAGTTTGTTGTCTGTCCCAAAACGTTGGTTTAAGGTCTTGGAAATTCTATATGGTGTTAAACAGCTCAATATAAGAAACATTAGTTGTACCACTTTTAGAAAAACTCGCTAGTTTAGCGGGAAAACAGCTATAAATAGAAAAATTTCGTAAGCCCATAACTTGCGAAATACTTAAGCTACAGACTTTCGATATACATGTACATGTTATATGTACCTCATATTAAAGGTATTTTGAAGTACAATAAATGCCTTCCTAACACTATTTATACCCCATATTAAAGGTATTTTGAAGTACAATAAATGCCTTCCTAACACTATTTATACCCCATATTAAAGGTATTTTGAAGTACAATAAATGCCTTCCTAACACTATTTATGTATATGCAATAGTTAAAAACTTATGCACAAACCCATTTTTTTTGTAAACTTTATTTTTAACTTTTTTTATTTTTCTCAAAAACGGCTTAAACGGTTTTCTTTAAAACTTTTAACTGTATAGCCCCTGAGATTCCTTAAATTTTGGTATATATCACATTATTGTAAAAACTCACGTTTAAAAGTTATTAAGAAACGAAAATAGCCACTTTTGGTAGCTCAGAACAACTAACGCTTCCTGAGCATTGAATTTTGTGCGGGGGTGTCCAAACTGTATTTTAGGGTCATGGAATCAGTTAATTTGCATTTAACAGTACTTGGGTTGAGCTCAGAGAAGCTGGGTCGGGTAAAATTAAAATTTCAAATTTTGAATATGGGAATCGTTTGTCCACCGTTTGTCCACGTTTGACCACCTTTTAGTTTTTTTTGTCCACGTCCAGTTTCGAAAATATGGGATTTCGAAAATTTTCGAAAATCAAAAATTTGAAATTTTTGAATTTTTTTGCATGGAATCGTTTGTCCACCGTTTGTCCACGATTGACCACCCTTTAGAATTTTAAAAAAGTCAAAACTTTAGAAAATACACCACTTTTTCGTTTTCACTAAATTTCAAAAAACTTAAAAGTTGAAATTTTCAAAATTTTTTGCATGGAATCGTTTGTCCACCGTTTGTCCACGATTGACCACCCTTTAGAATTTTGAAAAACTCAAAACTTTGGAAGATATACGACTTTTAAGTTTTCACTGAATTTCGAAAAAATTAAAAGTTGAATTTTTCAAAATTTTTTGCATGGAATCGTTTGTCCACTGTTTGTCCACGATTGTTTGTCCACGTTTCCATAAAATTTTTAATTTTTAATTTTTTCGAGATTCAGTGAAAACTTAAAAGTCGTATATCTTCCAAAGTTTTGACTTTTTCAAAATTCTAAAGGGTGGTCAATCGTGGACAAACGGTGGACAAACGATTCCATGCAAAAAATTTTGAAAATTTCAACTTTTAATTTTTTTGAAATTCAGTGAAAACGAAAAAGTCGTATATCTTCCAAAGTTTTGACTTTTTTAAAATTCTAAAGGGTGGTCAAACGTGGACAAACGGTGGACAAACGATTCCCATATTCAAAATTTGAAATTTTAATTTTACCCGACCCAGCTTCTCTGAGCTCTTGGGTTGGTGTCCCGACTATAATCGTAGCTCAGCTAAAGGGAGTGCGAGGGAGATAGATATATAAATTTTGATTGCGTATAACTTTTTAATGAATGGTCCGATTTACAAAAATGTTTTCTACATTTCGATAGGTATAAATATACACAACAAAATTGCATTTATACTTCTCGGAAATCTTTAAAGATGTGGGCGCAGGACCCATTTTAAAATCGTTAGTGGGCGATTGTGGACGTTAGAGGGGGCGTGGCGCTCGGCTAAAATAAACTTGCGCTGCGTAGGAAGCCAAAGAATATGTGTGGGAAATCTCAACCTTCTAGCTTTTGTAGTTTCTGAGATCTCAGAGTTCATACAGACGGACAGACGGACATGGCTAGATCGACTCGGCTAGTGCCCCTGATCAAGAATATATATACTTTATGGGGTCGGAAATGCTTCCTTCTAGCTGTTACATACTTTTGCACGAATCTAATATACCCTTTTACTCTACGAGTAACGGGTATAACTATTCGTCATTACACTTTCTAAAATTTTCTCATTCGGCGCGCTGCAATAAATAAGACTGTGAGGAGCAAAGAAGAAAAAGGCTGGAATAGTTTGCTAAGGCGGGTCGAATCAGAAAATTTTAGAAAGTGTATGTAATGACGAATGTAATAATACAAATCACAAATGTGATTTGGTGATATCAGAACTTTTGTATCCTGAAGGTGCGATCGTCCCTAGTTTTTTACCTCGTTAAGAGGTGTTTTTATTTGATATGCAAATTAGTCGAGCTTTTGATCGCAATGAGACGGTGTTAAATATTGTTATATAAAAGATGTCGAGCAGAGCTGGAGCTGTAGATATTAAAATTATGTAGCCTATAAGCCATATTTCAAAAAAACAGTATTTAATCTTTTACTAAGCCAATAGTCTTTCCCTTTTACCTCCCAAAAACTCAACTAATGCTTGTTCGGATCTTATTTCGACTGTTAATACCGATGAAAACCATACTCTTTAAAGAGTCTGGAATAGGTAGTTCCTTATTTCCTTAAAGACTACAGAATACCTTACGTTTATACTGTAGAGTATTGGTATAAAAATAAGTGGAAGGGAGTATAAAATCTTTATTCAAACATCAACAAGCAGAGTCACGCGTTTGTCATTCTAGTTTATAGCTACTGCCACTTTGGCTTCGGTTGCAGAGAGAAAAAAAGTAGCATTGCAATGCACTCACAAGAGTATCTCAAAAATGTTAATATTTGATTAAAGAAAAATTGTTTGAATCAGGGACCGTAAATAACACTGTGCAACATTTTTAGGGTTATAAAATGTAACCGCAATTCTGATTTCATTGGCGGAAAGAACTCATCGAAATAAGCTAACACCCATTTGGGTTTCTCTGGCTTAGCTCGCGTTTACCTATTATAGCGAGTTTTACATACAAAATTTATTTGTAACGGCCATATCTTGTGAACCGATTAAAATTTTACTATCAAGTCTTCAGTGATTATATAGCTATGAACCCAAGGAACTAAATTGACAAATGACTCTTGCGAAGACGTACACCTAGCGCGTTAAAAATCGAAAAATTAGGCAAATTTGTTTTTTAACGCGCTAGGTGCACTAGGTGCTAAGTGCGCAAGAGTCATTTGTCAATTTAGTTCCTTGGGTTCATAGCTACATAATCACTGAAGACTTGATAGTGAAATTTTAATCGGTTCAGAAGATATGGCCGTTACAAATAAATTTTGTATGTAAAACTTTAACTCGCTATAAAAGGTAAACGCGAGCTAAGCCAGAGAAGCCCAAATGGGTTTTAGCTTATTTCGATGAGTTTTTTCCGCCCATGAAATCAGAATTGTGGTTACATTTTTCATGTTGCACTGTGTAATCATTATTTGAGATTTTTATTTAAAAAAGACTACTGTGATATTATGTTTTCGTCAAAAATAACGTTATTTTTACTCTTGTCCACAAAGTATATGCATGTCAAAAAATCTGGGAAGCAAATGAACTGTTATTTGTTCATGTCTTTAAAGTGCATAACAACCAATTATATTGTTGATTAAAACATGTTCAAATCTCAGTAGGCCTTTTAAAATAAAAATCTCAAATAATGATTATTTACGGTCCCTGGTTTGAATTAGTAATTGGAATGTTATTTTTTGAATTTTGTTGTTATTAAGGAAAGTATAACATTTAATTGTGGCAAATACTTCCACTTGATACATACAGCTTGTGTTTATTTTTCCCAGTGCAGTACTGCTGCATTTGCTGTGAGGGTAATTGAGCCAAAGCGGAAGCAGCCAACGAGGCTAACAACTCATGACAATGGGCAAGGCAAATGGGCGGCGAAGAGGGCTGGAGATGAGCAGAGGCAAGAGGAAATGGCGTCGAAATAATTCATGTGCAAATGCATTAGTCGCTGAGTTGCATTGCCACTCAATGGCTGAAGTACACTCGAAGAAGCCAAGTGAAAGATAAAAAGTTTGCTTAAGGGAAGTCGGAATAAAGGCATGTGTTTTAAAGGAATATAGATAAAAGGGACTGTCTTCGCAGGTACATTATTGTAATTAAAAAATCTTCACAGTAGTTAAACCCCTTATAAGACAACGTTAAGGCTCATTCCACGTGAAACGTGACAGGTCAATTAAGGTAAAATCTCAGAAATGATCGAAACTTTTTTTTTCGATAGATGATTGAAATATAAGTATGGTTTTATTTTATCTCTTACCGTTTATTCTTAAAATTTTTTTTTTTAGAATAAGGCATTTTTTTTAGTTTATGCAGCACTTGAGACTTGTTTGAGTTATTTTAATATCTGGTATGCAACTTTGGGACATCTTAATATCATTCAGAAAAATATTTAAAAAGATTTTTAAATTAAGTATTTTTTAAGAGAATTTAAAATTAAAAAAATTCTGTACGTCGGATTAAAAAAATTATCCTCATATTGCTTCATCAATTCTTCAGAAAGTGGTAAGTAAAGACAACGATTTTTGTTTAGCAACTTTGCATCGAGCAACAACAACGCAACGTCTAAGAAAGGGAAATTAATATCTCTCTACGGCTATTCCGGTTTAGATTCTCTTAAAAATTACTTAATTTAAAAATTAAAAATTTTTTTAAATATTTTTCTGAAAGATATTAAGATGTTCTACAAAGTTGCATACCAGATATTAAAATACCTCAAACGAGTCTCAAGTGCTGCATAAATTAAAAAAATAAGTTTAATTCTAATTAAAAATAAACGGTAAGAGATAAAACAAAAAACAAAAACCCATCCTTATATTTCAATCCTCTATCGAAAAAAAAAGTTTCTATCATTTCTGATATTTTACCTTAATTGGCCTGTCACGTTTCACGTGGAATGAGAAAGTGATTAATCATTTTCAGAATCCGTTGAGCCTTAATCTCACTTACCCAAGAAAGCTGGTATGGCACCCATGGGCATCACAAACAGACTGACCAGAAGATCAGCTATAGCAAGGGAGAATAGAAAGTAGTTGGTGACGTTCTGAAGCTTCCGGTCCAAGGCCACTGCCAGGCAGACTAGGATGTTGCCCAAGCCCCCCGCAAAGATGAAGAACACTACGAACAGGAATAGCCAATCGTAGCCAGTGGGACTGTAGTCCAGGAGGCTCTTCGTAACCCCGATATCGGGCAATGTCCCTGCAGTGGAGGCGACTGTTGTGGTCAAGGCTGTGTAGTTGGACAGAATCATGTCCAAACTGGTGCTGGTGGCATTCACGATGCTCGAGGTGTCGTTGCCGGGTTCCATTAGCTCGCTTAGGTTGAGGAAGGACCAGAGGCTGCCGTGCTCGTTGCCCAGTTCGATTTGATACGCTTCCAGTAGACTGTCGTTCAAGGGGGGCTCCTCCACACTTTCCAGCTCCCGAAATGGCTCCCTCTGATGCTGCTGCAAATGACAGAGGAATAGTTCCTGGGCCAGCCCCAGATCGCATTGCAGTAAATCCCCTCCATCCTCGCAGCTCGAACTATCTCTAAGTATATCACTCGAATTATCACTGAGGGCCCGGTTGATTGCCAGTCGAAATTGCTCATACGCCCCGTACGGCACTTGATACAGTCGCGCCTTCAGCCTCAACGTGCAGCTTTCAGACAATGGACTCTCCCCATCGCATCTATAGAAAGCCGATTGCTCCGCTCTATCGAATGCCTGCCTGGCACACTGGAATGTGTGGCTGCTGCCGTTGATGAGGATGTTGCTGGTGGGCAGGATGTGGTTGCTGTTGCTGTTAGTGTTGCCGCTTTCGCAGTCAATAAACGGCTGCCAGACCTCAGGCCCAGCCGCCTCTTCCAGTCGACAATTGAAGTGTCGCTGGGTGAATGTTGCTGCTGTGTCTGCTGCATATGCGGTTGCATTGGCTGCTGTTGCTGATGTTGTTGTCGTTGGTCCGTGACCAGAGTGGCTTTGCATCTCCATTTCATTCTAAAGCTGTGTGGCCCCTCCACGACAACAACAACTCGAAAAAGTCGCTATTGTTGAGTGCAAAGTAATTGGCTGCAACAAGAAATGGGAACGGTTAGTTGGATATCTATAACTCATTTTATTCGAGTTAATGTAAAAGGCTATTTGATTAACATCCATTGACTGTTAATTTTTGGGAAACAAGCTTTTGCCTAAGCAATAAATTTCAATTTTCTTAAATGATATCAGTTCCTAAATTCTTTGGAAAAAAAATCGTTCCAAATCAGAAATAATGCAGCGGCTCTTCAAATTTTACACACAATCGATTGGTTAAGTTGAGCAATTTAATATTAACTCGTCCCCTATTCAACCTAACAAAAAGTCGTGAAAAACAGAAAATTGTATATGAAAAAGAGATTAAAATTTTTGTTTTATATGAAGTTTTTAGTAGTATTTTCCTTGGACGACTTTTTGGGTAATGCAATGTAAAAGCAAAGAGTATACATTATACAGAGGGCGCATAACTCTGATAATTCTGTTCACACTGTTGTCGGCAAGGGGAAAAGGGGAATGAGCTTGTTCTATTTTTAGGTTTCGTTTATTGAATACACAATGCATAAGTGTAAGTGGGCTTTGTGTGCATGTGTGCGAGAACGTGGCGACACATTTTGGACCAAATTTCATTTTTGTCATTTTGATAATCGAGGGCCAACAACTTTTAAAAGTCGAAAAGGGTTTTCTGCCACAACATCCAACTCGGTCTACGGTCGTGCTGGCTAAAGCGTTGATCAGCGATGTTGATGCGTGTTCGATCCCCGCAAAGGGCAGACGTTTTCTAATATTGTTTTTTTTTTGTCTCGAAATATATTTATTTTATTTTATTATTTTAGTTAATTAAGCTTTAAAGCTACAAAATAATTCATGAATATTACAAAGCTTAATTTCTAAAATATATGTAATATATTTAATATTTTTTTAAGATCTATCTATTTACTAATAGTGTTACCCTTTGATGATCAATACTATTATAAGTTTTATAACTGTTATAAGTTTTATTTTAAAAACAAGAAAGGAAGCTAGCTTCGGCCAGCCGAAGCTTATATACCCTTGCAGATCATTCCTATTAATTAACAAATCGCAAAAATGTTCAATTTTCTAATATTTCTCATTAATTTTCCGATCGTTCCTATGGCAGCTATATGATATAGTCGTCCGATTTTGATCAAATTAAAATTGAAATTCGGAAATATTTAAAAAGAGTCATATCCTAGAGTAGAAGATAATACAATAAAAACCAAAGAAGCTAGAATTTATTTCCTATTACTTTTCCATTAATTTTCCGATCGTTCCTATGGCAGCTATATGATATAGTCGTCCGATTTTGATTAAATTAAAATTGAAATTCGGAAATATTTAAAAAGAGTCATATCCTAGAGTAGAAGATAATACAATAAAAACCAAAGAAGCTTGAATTTATTTCCTATTACTTTTCCATTAATTTTTCGATCGTTCCTATGGCAGCTATATGATATAGTAGTCCGATTTTTTAAATAATTAATTCGAAATTCAGAAATATTTAAAAAATAACATCCCCAAAAGTAGAAGGTTATATTTCAAAAAACACCGAAGCTAGAATTTTTTAAAGTTTTTTTTTTTCCGATTGTTCCTATGGGAGCTATAAGATATAGTTGTCCGATCCGGTCGGCTCCGACATATATACTACCTGCAATAGAAAGAAGACTTTTGCGAAAGTTTTGTCCCGATAGCTCAAAAACTGAGAGACTAGTTTGCGTAGAAACAGACAGACGGACAGACGGACAGACGGACGGACAGACGGACAGACGGACATGGCTAGATCGACTCGTCTTGTGATGCTGATCAAGAATATATATACTTTATGGGGTCGGAAACGTCTCCTTCACTGCGTTGCAAACTTCTGACTGAAATCATAATACCCTCTGCAAGGGTATAATCACACTTTAACAGTTATTTTCTGATTTGTAAAGTAAAACTCAAAGAATAACTGTTATTTTTTGAGTTTTATAATAAAAGTTATTCGTCGTGATCAAAAATAAAACTCAAACTTGATTTTTGGCGATTTTGTGGGCAAAATAAATTTTAAAAATAAATAGTTATAAAATATGTTTTTTAATAAATTATTAGTAAGTTATATAAAACATGATCAGCATGTTTTTATACCCTTGCAGAGGGTATTATGATTTCAGTCAGAAGTTTGCAACGCAGTGAAGGAGACGTTTCAAGTATATATATTCTTGATCAGCATCACTAGACGAGTCGATCTAGCCATGTCCGTCTGTCCGTCTGTCCGTCTGTCCGTCTGTCCGTCCGTCTGTCCGTCTGTCCGTCTGTCCGTCTGTCCGTCTGTCTGTTTCTACGCAAACTAGTCTCTCAGTTTTTGAGCTATCGGGATAAAACTTTCGCAAAAGTCTTCTTTCTATTGCAGGTAGTATATATGTCGGAGCCGACCGGATCGGACAACTATATCTTATAGCTCCCATAGGAACAATCGGAAAAAAAAAACTTTAAAAAATTCTAGCTTCGGTGTTTTTTGAAATATTACCTTCTACTTTTGGGGATGTTATTTTTTAAATATTTCTGAATTTCGAATAAATTTTTTAAAAAATCGGACTACTATATCATATAGCTGCCATAGGAACGATCGGAAAATTAATGGAAAAGTAATAGGAAATAAATTCAAGCTTCTTTGGTTTTTATTGTATTATCTTCTACTCTAGGATATGACTCTTTTTAAATATTTCCGAATTTCAAATTTAATTTAATCAAAATCGGACGACTATATCATATAGCTGCCATAGGAACGATCGGAAAATTAATGGAAAAGTAATAGGAAATAAATTCTAGCTTCTTTGGTTTTTATTGTATTATCTTCTACTCTAGGATATGACTCTTTTTAAATATTTTCGAATTTCAATTTTAATTTGATCAAAATCGGACGACTATATCATATAGCTGCCATAGGAACGATCGGAAAATTAATGAGAAATATTAGAAAATTGAACATTTTTGCGATTTGTTAATTAATAGGAATGATCTGCAAGGGTATATAAGCTTCGGCTGGCCGAAGCTAGCTTCCTTTCTTGTTTTTTAATTATTTCATTTTTCAAAACTGTCAAGGGAATAACTGTTATTCATAAAAATTACGGATTTGTAAACTACAATGGCTAATAATAATAGTGGTGTATTTAAACAAATTTTTTGACCCCTCTAAGTCCGTGATTTTTTTTTTGTAAGAAAAATTTACAATAACAGTTATTTTCGGTCCCTGATCAATAGTAATTACAAAATAGAAAAAAAAAACAAAACAAAATTAAAAATGCTCCTAAAAAACAATACAAAAACACAAAAAAAAATAATAAATACTCTTAAGCTAGGAACACACGATTCAAAAAATTTGCAGCAAATTAGTTTGCAGCAATTTGCAGCAATCATCTTGCCGTTTGTTAAATTTAAAGTAGGTTAAAGCCTTTAAATCGAATGGGAAATCGGAGTTTGAACCCTACTTTAAATTTAACAGGAGGACGAGAAAACGACCCCAATAAAAAAAGTTTGCCCTCGCAAGAAATCGAAATTCTACAGCGAGATTCGATCCCCGTACCGCTTAGATTGGTAGTCAGATGTCTTATCCACTAGGCCAAATGGCAAACAGTGCCGCGGCCGACTAGATTCCAACTAGAATCGAGCACCGCTAGAACCCGCCATACGACAGACTTTTTTATATGGGAAATCCTCTTTATGTATGCATACTCTTTGGTAAAAGCTACTCTTACGCAGTACGTAAACTTCTAGGGATTCCTGCGCAAAATTAAAAAATCGCCATTAACAACTAACAAGTGTCTGGAGACCAATTGTTTAAAAATGTTGTAACATTTTAAAATTTGATTTTGATTTGTCTCTTAATACCCAACGAAGTAAATAATAAACAAGAAAGAAAGCTAGCTTCGGCCAGCCGAAGCTTATATACCCTTGCAGATCGTTCCTATTAACTTACAAATCGCAAAAATTTTAAATTTCGTATTATTTTAATATTCTTTTTCTATCCTTCCCTATTGCAGCTATATAATATAGTCGTCCGATTTTTGTTAAGTTTAATTCAAAACTCTGAAATATTAAAAACAAGAAAGGAAGCTAGCTTCGGCAAGCCGAAGCTTATATACCCTTGCAGATCATTCTATTAATTTACAAATCGCAAAAATGTTAAATTTCTTATTATTTCACATTAATTTTTCGATCGTTTCTATCACAGCTATATGATATAGTAGTTCGATCTTTTAAAAATTAAAATCGAAATTCGGAAATATTTCAAAATAGTCATATCCCAGAGTAGAAGGGAATGTAATACAAACCAACAAAGATATAATTTTTTTCCCATTAATTTCCATTTAAATTTTCGACCGTTCCTATGGCAGCTATATGATATAGTGATCCGATTAAAAAACAAAAAAAACCGAAATTCAGAAATATATAAAAAAAAATATTCCCAAGAGTAGAAGGTAAAATTTCAAAAAACATCGGAGCTAGGTATAAAAATCATATCCTACAGTATAAGAGAATACAATAAAAACCAACGGAGCCATAATTTGTTTCCAATTAATTTCCCATTAATTTTTCGATCGTTCCTATGGCAGCTATATGATATAGTCGTCCGATTTTGATAAAATGAAAATTGAAATTCCGAAATATTTAAAAAGAGTCATGTTCTAAAGTAGAAGAGAATACAATAAAAACCAAAAAAGCTAAAATTTATTTCTGTGTAACATTCCCATTAATTTTCTGATCGTTCCTATGGCAGCTATATGATATAGTCGTCCGATTTTTAAAATATTTTATTCAAAATTCTAAAATATTTAAAAAATAATATTTCCAAGAGTAGAAGGTTTTATTTCAAAAAACACCGAAGCTAGAATTTTTTTAACGTTTCCTTTCTTTGGGAGCTATAAGATATAGTTATCCGATCCGGTTGGTTCCGACTTATATACTACCTGCAATAGAAAGAAGACTTTTGGGAAAGTTTCATCGCGATAGCTTCAAAACTAAGAGACTATTTTGCGTAG